TTTTTTGTGTGTTTTTTTTTTTTTTTGCTGCAGGGGGATGAGTGCCGCTGCGTGCTCTGCAGACTGGCCTCTTCTTGTTAACGGCGTGGGGGTCTTTGCGCAGTTTCTTCCCGCGTTCATCTGCGCGCGGCGGTGACGGGCGCCGTAAGTGAGCGGAGCGTGTGGCCCGTTCCGGCCGGGTTGCGGAAGCCTTTATAAAATTGCTGCGGTTTGAACGGTCAGTGGACTAAATGCAGGAAAACGAGGAAGAACTACTTTTTTTTTTTGTTTCTCCCAAATTTCTGCACTTTTAATTTAGAATGTGCTACCTCTTAGGAGTAGCGAAAATCTCGCTAAATCCATCTTGCGGTTAGGATTTAGCACGTGTATTTTTACTTCCAGTGAGACTTCACGCATGAGGCCGTCACAGCTTGAACGGTCAGTGGACTAAATGCAGGAAAACGAGGAAGAACTACTTTTTTTTTTTGTTTCTCCCAAATTTCTGCACTTTTAATTTAGAATGTGCTACCTCTTAGGAGTAGCGAAAATCTCGCTAAATCCATCTTGCGGTTAGGATTTAGCACGTGTATTTTTACTTCCAGTGAGACTTCACGCATGAGGCCGTCACAGCTTAGGTAGATGTATTTTATTTTACTTTTCTCGCCTTTAAAAATCAGGGAAGGAAACCTTTGGTGCGACAGCATTAAATGCGTGCAAAGACCGGATTGAATATATGCAAAGAGCAGATACAAAGTCATCTGCTGTTGATGGTCTGCTAACGCATCGAGCCAGATCGCTGCCTTGGTAAGGGAGAGAAAGGGTGGTTTTTTAGATCAGTGAAGTAAGTAGGGATAGTTTCTATCGTTGGAACGAGGAGCACTGCAGGCTGTGGAATCCTTGCAAACAAAGAGAATATTTCTAAAATATTTTTTGCTTCCAACGTGATCAAGCAGAAGGTAAAATTCTAAAAGAGCTAAATTCACAATAGGAAATATATTTCCAGCCTTTGCTGGTAGCGTCCACTGCTTTACAAGCAGATCCACGTGCCAGCAGTCTTCTTGAAACCTTAAACTTATCACAAGTTGATTTGTCATAAAAAATATGTTTGCCTTCTCTTACTAATGTGTTCTCGTTTTCCTAAAAGAACCTGCAGTTCTGTTAAGGAATTGAGTTACTGCCAAACCGTACACTTTTCTTGATAGTCCAAGAGATAATTCTTTCTACGCTACTTTTAGAGGAGGTAGGTTGCCTTTAGGGCAATGTAGGTTTTATTTGGATGTTGCAATGGGAAAGAAATCGCACAAAAACTTGTAGTTTTTGCATTTGCTGGATTTTGGGTTAGTGGCTGTTTCAGTTCTGAATCTTTTTTGGTTCTACCTTGACTCTTTTTCCATGTAAACGTTGCATTGCTGGAGGGAAGCAGCTTAGTGGTCTGAACTTGGGAAGTCCAAGTAAGGCTGACTTAGCCCTTCCACTTTGCAAAAACGGTTAAAGAGTGTTACATGAAGGTTACTTTGGCCGCCTTTTTCTTAAAAGTGACTTTAACCTGAGGACTTACCTATTTGCTACGGATATTTAAGGATTCTCATCACATTGTAGAAGTTGCTAGTTGCTCTTCTCATGCAATCTCCCTAAAGAAAATTCAACTTTATTTTTTACTGTGCAATCTTTAATAGGAAGGGGATGTCCTGGATACCAGAGACTACACATTTTAGTATCTGTGTGTCAATACATATGTAAATATGTAGAAAGACCTGAAAAAAGGTTTGGCTAAACCTTATCTTCTTTGTTTGCTTGCTTGCTTTTTATTCCAACTGTATAGTACTGATTTATAAGAGCACTTTGTGGCTGTAAAAGTCCTGGAAACTCCCACTCACTTTAAGTATCTTTAACTCAGGCAAGTTGTCCCATTGAAGCTCAATGAGACTACTTGTGTAACTGATAAAGGATGGAACACACAATTTGCAAAGTGCTTTGCAATCTTTTTGGTAGAAGGCGGTGATAAATGCAGGATACTGTTAAGCTGATTATAGTGATTAGAGTATTTCACAACTTTATATTTCACAACTTTTTGTATTTGTAGTATATTTCATCTCTGAATGCGTCTAGGTAAATAGCAGATAGAAAGGATGGTTATCTTCTGGGGTAGAGGTGTTACGGTGCTGGTAGTGATCTTTTTTTTTTTTTTTAGTAGTTATTATCAATTTATTTAAAAAATACCGAGTTTTGAATTATTTAAGAAAATCAGCGCTCCCCCCATCTGTAGTCAACTAATGCTTTGCTCCCACTAGAAAAAAAAAACTGTTTGAACGTTGTTTAAGAGCCAGATTTAAATGATAATAGCTTAAATGACTTTAGAGATGGAGCATAAATTCTGTATTTCCATAGAACTGAAATACATTGGCTTGTCTGAGCTGGTAGAACAGCATTTCCTATGGACACCCCTCTTTCACCTCTGGGCCAAGGGCCCAGGTCTTAGAGCTTTCTCTTTCACAGCAAGCACAATATGTTCAGAGTATGTCCCAGATTTTTCTTCAGGGTAGTACAATATGAAGGGAAAAAACAAATCATTTTTTTCTGTTTTTTCCCAGTCATATGCTGACATTGTTTCAAACTGGTGTTGCAGGTGATTTCTGCGATAACCAGAGGGTAAATGGTTTGGCTTCCATTGCCAGAAAAATTTACCATCATATTGACCTGTAGTCTTTCCATGTGTAGCACGCACCTAATCAGCTGCTTCTAGGTACTACTTTCAGATATACTCTGGCAATTAAGACTCCTTCTTAAGGCTCTGTAAGAAAGATGCTTCGTTAATTCACGCTTTCTAGCTCTGTATGAAGAGGCAGCAGTGTTGGCTCTAGAGTGTAGACAGTCGTGGTAAATAACTGGGAGCAAGTTATGGCTCGGTAGTATTACTTAGGACGTAGAGGTGTTTGGGTGGTAAGCTAGTAAGTGCATATAACTTTTGTTAGCAGGTCAGTTGTGCTCTTGAACAGCTTTGTGATTTCTATATAGACTGATGTAACCCTACTGACTTTGGTCAAATTAATCTTGATTTATGCTGAGTGTGAGTGAGATCAGAATTAGCTTTCTGAGCTTTGGGTGTTTGACTAATCCGTGCAATGCACTGAATCAGAATATGAACCCAGTTAAACTGGGGCAGCTAATTTTGAAGTGCTGCAGACTTTGATAATGTTTTTCCATATATTTTAACAACTCTTTTTTTTTTTTTTTCCCCCCCCCAGTAAAAGGCCTGTGTTGGTTCTTCAGAATGACACTCTCTACTCCCAGAGACGTCCTTATACTAGTGAAGATGAGGCCTGGAAATCCTTTCTTGAAAATCCCCTTACAGCAGCTACCAAAGCTATGATGAGCATCAATGGTGATGAAGACAGTGCAGCTGCCCTTGGACTGCTGTATGATTACTACAAGGTACATTTTCTCGCGTGTGCTTTGAGAGCCAGCAGAGCTCTTGTTTCACCTGTGAATAAAGCATCATTTGTTAGAGGATTTTATAGAAACCGTGAATAGATCATAACAACTCTGAACTGTATGGTTTTAACATTAAAAAAAAAATGCTGATCTTCTGAAAAAATGTCTTTTTTAGCTCAGTATAATAGGATCAACTGGATCTTACTGTAATAGGCCAAAGGCTTCAGGTGTGGCTTACCTGTTGACTCTAACTTAATAGTCGTAAAGAATGAGACTTGGAAGCATGTCCATGCCTGAATTTAAATATATAAGGAGAAAGAAAGTTCTTCTCTTTTGCTCATGTGATCCCTGCTGTGGTGGCACTGCGAGCTTTTACTGGAACTCTAATATGCTACTTCAGTGTAAGCTGAGATACTACAGATTTTTTGGTTGTGAGGAGGAAAAAGTCAGCCTGAAAGAGCTGTTGTCTATATCGCTCTGACTTCTAGTGAGCATGAGCTACAAGAACCTGTTAGCCTCTTGACAGCTGCAATTGTCTTCCCTAGCGTTCAAGGTATTATCAAAGATGTTTGGCTTTCTAGAATCGCACAGGTGTATTGAATAAAGTCAAACGGATAGCTTTCTGGTTGTGTGGGATACCTATCACTGAATTTTCAATTCCTAAGTATTAGAAGCCTGAGCTGGGGTAGTTGTCTTCATTCCCGATCCAGGTCAATGGAGACCGATACTCATTTCCAGGTAGGGAGACATCCTACTTACGTGAGACACTTATACACTTACGTGAGACACTTACGTGAGCCAGTGGTCTGGCTCGCCTGATGGAGGTGCCAGTTTCTTCTACCCTGAGTGTGCAGGGAGGCCAGAGGGCTGACTTGGCTGAGATACCTGACTTGTTGGTCAGTGTCTTCTAACAGTACCATTACCAGCCTTAGTATATCCTCCAAAGTCTAGGAGGGATTGCCTTCTATCTTCAAAGTCCTTGCCTGCCTCTTTAAGAGGTGAACATGGCCTTATGTATCAAAATGTTCTTATAATGCTTAATATGGAGATTAGTACTCTACGCATACGATAAAATGCTACAGGCTCATTGAAGTGAATGTTATTTAGTTAGTTTTGTGAGAAAATTGGCTTTCTACTTTAGTCTATGCCCGCACTCGCTGTGCTCTTGAAAAAACACTTTCACCAGAACGATTTTAATTCACAAAATCGATTCCGATTTCTAAAATTGCAGATTACGAAGAGAATGCTGATGCTGATCCTTCGTGCTTAGCAAAGCACAGGGGATTAGCTGTACGTTACTGCCTTATTAAGGGTTTCCTCTTGGTTTGCCTATCGGTAGTTGTATAGAGAAATCAGTGGGGAAAAAAAGGTATTCAGCACAGTTGTGTGAAGAAAAATGATTAGAGGTTGAAAGCTTTACTGAAGGCTATTGGGAAGTAATGTTAGCGGGACAACGAGTAGGCATTTTGAACATGCTTTCTGCACCCCTCCTGCCAAATGATGAGTTGACCTTTAAATATCTTTTATAAAACAAACACCACCACCCAAAATTGAGTTTTCTTCCATTTGACTGATGGTTCAACTATCTTAATTAAGGCTTTACAGGAAATGAATTTTTAATCAAGATCTAGAGTTTTATAAGTGTTGGACTTTCAGCCGAGTGCAGTTTGGAGGAGTCTTTTTTTCCTGTGAATAGTTAGCATCAACCCTTTAGAGGCTCTCAGAATTTTTATTAGTCACTGAAAAAATCCAGTGATTCTTCTGATGCTATTAGAGTCATGATATAATGTAAAAGGTGCAGGATTTAATTTTCATCGTGAGCTACTTAGAGAAGTGCACTTTCTGTGCAGTTGCATCATCAGCCTTAGTGTTACTGTTATCAGGAAAGGGGTGATTCCAGTACCCTTTGCATTCCGTCTGAGCTGGCAAACACAAGCAGTATCCAAATGTGCTTGTGAAGCCATCATCAGCAGTGGAAAGTGTTGGAAGTTAATTCCTTGTTATATGGAAAAATGTTTCTTCTAATCATTCGGGTGGCATGTTGAGGGTAGCGAAAGCCCTGGGTGCCATGCATGCGTTTGCAGAGCCCTATGTGTACTTGCTGTGCAGTTGTGGGGATGTGAACACCATGGGCTCATGTTGCTGGTAGTGGGGCCTTTTCGGAGTTGCTGGAATGCTGACAGTGTGCTCAGGGGAACCTGGCTGCCGTGGTTCGAGGAGTTTACCCTCTTGTGCAGGGCTTGGCCGTGCAGCACAGTCAGGAAAACGTGTCTGTGTGTGTGGTGTGTGCGCACATGCATGTATGCATGTCTCAGCTGCACCATGTCTGAGGCAAAGCTCAAACCTGCTTCCATCATCAGTTTAAGTGAAGCAGCCGGACCATGCAGTGGGACACCCATGGTGAGCATGTGTGTTCTGTTTTGGGAGAGCCAGAGACAAACAGGCACGAGTGTGGGGCGAGGAGCATTGTAAACCACTGTGGCCGTTTGCTAAGCAAACGCGTTTCAGAGCCTCTGCTTTCTGCCCTGAAATACCCATGGAGTCCCTGCTGGCTGGGCCTGGGAAATCCAGTCCCGCTACTAAACAGGAAAGAGCGGTCAGCGGGGGGAACAGGGTAGCTTAGGTAACAGATATTACGGTGTGTAGTGTTTGCGGGATGAATCCTGTCCATGGCACACAATACCAGAAGCAACACTGAGCTGTTTTGTGCCTTAAATCCAAAGCACCTGTCTAGTGAGAGGTGATTGCCCTGTGCTTTTAAAAGGATTAGTATAGTTTGATGGGCCAGTGTACTGTAAATGGTCATGTATGATAATTAGCTGTAGCATCCTGATACACTTCTCATTGTCTTAGTTTTGGCCCTGTTCAACTCCTGCAAACTTTAACTGAAAATATGACTGGGTAGGTTGTAGCTGCTAAAAATCATCCTAGCTTTGTGCAGAATTTGCTATGTGGCTTTGAAAGAATTGCTGTGGGTGTGATTTCCAGGTGCTCCCAGCCCATGAGGAGGAGGCTCTCTGACCCTCACGAGAAGGGGACAACTTCAAGGGAGGGCCGAAAGCACAAACTTCGGGAACGCGTCTAAACCTGGTCCTTCCCAAATACCCTCGTCTCTGGTGGTGGTGGTGGGGGGAAAAAAAGCCTCAAATTGTCTTTGAGCAAGTCGTCTAGAGAATCTGTTTATAGAGAAAGGGGCTTTTCTCTCCAGAGACGTGGAGCAGTTTCCTCTCGCAAGCCTTGAGCTCATCCAGCAAAGTGAACCTTGTTCCTTTTCAGAAAGCTGATTGAAACCTCTGGAGATTTCCTTTTGATCCCCCTCACTCAGATGCTGATGCTTCAGCTTAAGAAGTCCTATTGGCTGCACTAGTTCTAACCCTGTCTAACGCTGGCATGAGTCCAAGCCTCGTGCAGCTGCCTGGGTTGGTTACTGTAGGATCTTCTGAGCAGCGTGTAGGACAGGCCTGGCATCCCAAAGCAATAGGAACATTAACATCAGTCAGGTACCATTACTAATAATAACTGATATCAGAGAATGGTCAAATTAAGAAAGCATCAAATAGGTGAAAGAGCTCTAATAGCTGTGTTATAAGGAGCTAATCACTTCCTTTTTTGTATAGAGGGAAGAATACAATTATAGCGTGTCTTGTATTTCCCAGGTTCCAAGGGAGAGGAGATCTTCAACAGCTAAACCAGAGGTAGAACATCCTGACCAAGATCACAGCAAAAGGTATTAGTTTTTTTTATTGTGTGTCTGCTTATCTCCCTTCCCTCCTAGACCACCAAAGCTGCTGAAGAGAAGTAACTTTGTTGCCCTGCAGTGTTATGCTGGAAGAGATAAATTGTTTGCTTTTACTTTGCTCCACATTCCTGTGCTGCCTCAGGAGCAGGACAGGGATTGAGGTGGGATGTGAAGAGCTGAGACGCACAAATTGCTTCTCATCTCCATCCATATGCTTTCTGTTTCCTCATGTCAGATGGCTGGCCTAGCCAGAGCTGCCCTCTTTCACCCTCAGCACAGTCTGGAAACGCAGGCAGCCCTTCCCAAGACACGCGGAGGTGACTGACCCTTTGATTTTTGTGTGTGGTTGCCTCGTTTGCTCACTGCTCTTCTCCTTTTTCTCAGGCACCAGCAGGTTTCTCCCTCATGCATGGGCTGATAGGGAAGGACTTCAAAGTGCTTGTGACTTCAGTTTTGTTTTTGTATCTCTTACAGACTTCTGTCTGGGAACTCCTTTCTTTTTTTTACCCTCCTGCTCTCCCTCTTTCCTGCCCCCCATGCAGAAAAATATACTGATTTGTACTATTTACTTAATGTTAGGTTCATTCAATCAGGCTTCCGCTCTTACTATGCTCCTCTTGTTCCTCTGGACAGATTGGAACATCTTAAGGACTTGGGGTGAGGTTTTGTGCTTTGGCTGAGCTGATTGAATGACTTGTTGAGAGGAGCAGTCTATTTTCCAGGCATGTGTTCCCGCTGCTCCCACTTGGACCAAGTCTGATCTTCTACTGACCCATAACCCAGCAGGAAAAAAGAGTGACTAGTTTCCTGCCAGTTGAGCAAGCTGAACCGGCTCACCAAGAGGTCAGGGACAGAAATGGTGCAAAGGAGAGGGCAGGACCATGTTGTTGAGAGGGAAGGAGGGCTAGCTCCTTTAGTGGCTACTAGCTATTAGGTCAGCACAGCCACAGATGTAAGCGTCATCCTGACAGAAATGAGCGTGATGGGATGGAGAGTGTGAAGTTATGCAAAATGCTCCAGGGACTCTGGGTTGTTTTTCTTAGGGAGATGTGTATGTGAAAGAGGGCTGTAATTTCCTCATCAGCGCTTCCCAGGTGGCACAGGGTTCTTGTGCCGAAGGGCAGCAACCTCGCTCTGGGGCCTCCTCTCCACAAAAAAAGCAGTTGCAGGGAGCCTAGTGTGAGTCTGCCTATGCTGCTGCTTGACAAGAAGGGCATCAGACTGCTGTTTTCCAGGCCATCGGAATCGTGGGCTGTTAACACTTAGCTCACTCTAGGGTAATTTGCCTCCAATATGGGGCCCTTAATAATCGGTGTTTGTTTGAATGAGTGCCTTAAGTTTTTCGGTTGGGATAGAGCTGATCCTCATAAGCAGAGGGGCTGGGGTTATCTTACTTTGTCCAAAAGGCTGAGAAGTATTTCTAATTCTTGTTTAATCAAAAACCAAACTCTTTATGTGTCCTTTCTCCTTGCACGTTAAAGGAACAGCATCCCAAATGTGACAGAACAATCGCTCATTTCTACTGGAGAAAATAGAGTCCAGGTTCTGAAAAATGTGCCTTTCAATATTGTCCTTCCGCACACACCCCAGATGGGCATGGACAAGAGAGGTCACCTGACAACCCCTGACACGACCGTCACGGTTTCAATTGCAACGATGCCCACTCATTCCATCAAAACGGAGACTCAACCCCATGGCTTTGCGGTGGGCATCCCTCCAAGCGTCTACCACCCTGAGCCCCCTGAGCGGGTGGTGGTGTTCGACAGGAATCTCAATCCTGACCAGTTCAATTCCAGCACTCAGCCCCAGAACTCTCAGAGACGAACGCCAGACTCCACCTTCTCAGAGACTTTTAAGGAAGGAGTACAAGAGGTACCAAGAGAGGCAGTCACTGGGTGCATGTGTGCATGTTTTAGTCTGGGTGGAGAGATCTGGTCCCATCTTTAATTGTTATGTAAGCCTGAAATCTGCCCAGTGAAATAGAAATAGAAGACCTTTTTCAGAAAGGTGCAGAAGTACAACTTAACAATTTCATGTTGTAGAGGTTTTATTTACTATCAGAAGCAAATGACTAATCTTACCAGTGACAGAGCTTTTGGCTCGACAGCATGTGGAAATAATTATCTTGATCCACTGCACTAAGCCAGGTTTTGCAAGAGTTCGGCACTCAACAGTGTGCCTTCGCAGGCACCTAAATGAAGTGACTAGGTTTGTAAGCTTCCTTGCAGGCAGTTTCTAGGTGTGGTGTGTGTGGTGGGGGGGGGGGGGGAACCCTTTTTTTAGTTAAACCTGGATGAAGATCCATGGTTTTGTTTTATGGTATCAAGTGAAAACAGAGTAACCATGTTTTGAGTTTTAAGCCAAGTATCAGGGAGCTGTGTAACTATGCCCTTTCTTTGAGGTTTGGGAAAGCTTTAAAATGTTGCCGTGGGCTGGCTCAGAAGGGCTGTAAGATGTACATAGTTGACACCCAAGTTTTTAAAGCCCTACTCAAGTGTTCTGTTTGTGCAGAACCAAAATTAGTTGTTATCTGATGATCAGTTTGCCTGCCAGAAGTTCTGTGGTAACAAGTATCTGTTTAATCTTGACTTTTCTTGTTGCTGCTGTGTTAATTCTTGTGTTTTGTGTCTATATCAGGTTTTCTTTACTGCTGAACTGAATCTCCGGATGGCCAACATGAATTCAGAAGATTATGTTTTTGACAGCATTTCTGGGTAATGCTCTAAGCCCCTGGTGGCTCATATTCTCTTGTTCTCTCATAGCTGGCGTGTTCATGAGTAAACAGTACTCCCTTCTGCACTGAGTCTCTGTTGGGTTGTGGATCTCAAAGCACAGCAACGTGTGCTCGTTTGAATCTGGCTTGGTAGATGCTCTTCACAGTTTAAAATTCTGCCTGTGTCTTTGAGGAAAAATACCTGGTTCGAAATAGCCCGCCACTTTAGTTGTTCTCCTTATAGCTCACTACAGGGTTAAACCCCATGGTAACCATGGTAAACCCCTATTGGAAGATGCAGTGTTACAGAAATCTCTTGGAGCTGACTTCCAGCTGTCTTGCGCTCCCTGGCCTGCTAGCCTTGCTCTTTTCCTTTTGGAAATCTACAGCATAGAAGCATAAACAGAATGTGTAAAACTAGTATATGAGCTCCAAGGGAGGGGCTAAGCTAGTTTTTTGGTTAGCTGCAGTTGACCAAGAGGGAAGAGAAGACCCTAGCATATTAACTTGTGTATTTAATTTAATTGCTAATGGATACTTCTCTATTAAGTGAAAGTAGCGTGTTGCTCTGAGTCTGAATAGGGAGCTTCCAGTCTTGCCTACTGATGGGTCTAGGGATTTAGCTTGCCAAGAACTTCTCTTAAATGTTCCTTCATGAAGGGAATAGTTGAAAAAGGGGCTCATCCTGTTTTCCAACTTCCTCACCTGTTGAAGGCTTAGTGAGTCAACTAACAACTTTGGAATTTCTCCAAATTAAATGTAGATCGTTTAATTGGCTTTCCAGGAAAATGCCTTAGCAATCACTGTCCTCTTTGCTTCATAGGAATAACTTTGAATACACTCTGGAAGCCTCCAAGTCCCTCCGACAGAAGCCTGGGGACAGCACGATGACTTACCTAAATAAGGGTCAGTTTTACCCAATCACACTGAAAGAAGTCAGCAGCAGTGAAGGAATCCATCACCCCATCAGTAAAGTCCGAGTGAGTGGCAGCTTTCATGGTTTCTTGGGAAAGTGTGTGTGTGTGTGTTCGTATCAGTAGCCTTAAAATCCCCCAAACTGTAACAACCTAAACAATAGCACCAGCACTGAAGCCAGCTAACCCACGCTGTTACGTCAGTGTTCGTTCCTTTGCTGTCCACCTACTTCCAGACCAGCCCATCCTGGCTCAGTCTGTTAAGTGGTGTCAGCACTTCTGTAGAGATGATGCAACACCTGGAATGAGGTCCTTGAACTCCAGTTAGGAGGGCAGTTCTGCTTATCCCTGTTTATGACCCAGAAGGCAGTGCTGTCTGCCCGCCTCGCTGTTCTGCAGCGGTGTGCCCGGTGTCCTGGGTTTTGTTCAGTTAGAAAGCCTAATGTTTTCCAATGCCAAGGAGGAATTCCAAAATGGATGCAGTCTGTGGCCTTTTTTCTTTTGTATGTTTGTGTGGTGTGTGGTGTTTTTTTTTTTTAATCTTAACTTCTCACCCTCTTCTTTTAGAGTGTCATCATGGTGGTGTTTGCTGAAGACAAAACAAGAGAAGATCAACTCAGACACTGGAAATACTGGCACTCAAGGCAGCACACAGCCAAACAAAGATGCATTGACATAGGTAAGAAATGCTTTGATTGCTGATGTCAAACTCCAAGTCTAATTCCTTGGCATGGTTTGGCTTTTTGCTGATGATTTGTTAGATTAAGGAATCTTTGGATCACGCTCTGTGCTTTCCATAGCTTTGCTGAAAGCCCTTTAGCTCTGAGCTAGTGTTGTGGTTTTTAGGACTTGTTAAAGGGACTGATTTTTTGGAGGGCTTTGTTTACCTGGTGAACAGACTGGGTTTAGGGTCTTGCATTGGGAATTACAATTCCCTGTTGCTTTGGAATATCTTGGTGGTTGTAGGAAAATTGCAGCTTAGACTCTGTGGTTGTCCTATCTGTTATGTTTCTTCTAAGGTCAAGATCCTAGCAGAAATACCTCGATGCTAATCATCTTCCTTTCCACAGCTTTGCTCACAACTGGTCTTTGGTTCACTCTTTTTTTTAAAAAAAAAAAAAAAAAAAACCTTGCAGATTTGCCTCCAGACAAGGCCGTGGCTGGCTGGCTTCCAAACTTCTCTGGCTGTATGCTGGGTTGTACTCCTAATCCCTGCTTTTATTCACAGAAGGAAGGGACTAATCACTTGGCACTTAAAGCAGACGCGCATGCAAATCTTTGTTTGTTATTGAAAGAGTTTTATTGAGACCTTATAGCCTTGCCTTACAGGATAGAGTTTCCCCGCACATAGCAGGGTATGGCACAGAGACATGCAATACCTGGGATGTCTGCTGTTTTCATTGCAGTTTCTAGTTTGGCTTTTCTGTTCAGTCCCTTGGTTTCATCTCTCCTCTTGTGTTTTTTGTGTGGTTTTTTTTCCTCCTTTTTCTTTTTTTGTGTGGGAACAATTTCTGGCCTTTTTAATGATCCGATCTGAAAACAGTTAAGCTCCCTTTTTTCCTAAGGAGTTGAATAGGAGTTGCTGTTGCTAGCTAGATGCTTTGTATGATTAAGAAGTCCAGATGATATTGCCTCTTCCTCTCCCTCATCTCTTCTTTCTGATAGCCGACTACAAGGAGAGCTTCAACACCATCAGTAACATTGAAGAGATCGCATACAATGCCATATCCTTCACTTGGGACATCAATGAGGAAGCAAAGGTATGTGACCACGATCATATTTCCTGTCCTTTCAGTAGATGGGGGGAGGAGGGGAAGGGTGTGTGGCCTACCTAGTGATTAGCATGTAACAAGTTTGTTTACCCTCTTGCGTTAGGCAAAACCTTCTGGCTGTTTCTTAAGAGGGTTTGCATGTGCAGCTGTGGAGAGCTTTGCAACTACTTTAAGGTTTTTGGCAGAATTGCCTGCCTGACAGACAAGTACTGACAAAAGGAAGCATCAAACGTTTCCCAGAGCAGTGAAGAACTGGTGCTGAAGGTGTGATTGAATGTAGTTGGGCTTGGCAGTTAGCACAGTCTTTTAGAGTATCCCGGTGGGAAGCAGGGGGCAATTTCTCAGGAGTTGAGACTGCGGCAATGCAATTGTATTAAGCAGAAGAGGGAGTAGCTGCTGTTGTTGAGCTACCAAAGAATATGTTGCTGAAACCACAGATCCCAGCACACGGTGACCCGTTTCAGCCAGAACGGCTTCCTGGTGAACTCTGGTTTGATCCTTTTGCAGAGCTTTGAGCACCACAGTAGGTGCCTAAGTATGGGCAGCTTTCCTTGCTGTAGTTAACTGGAGCTGTTTGAAGCCATTCCAGCTTTTGAAAAAGGCCTGTGTGTCTTCAGTTACCAGCATAGCAGGTCAGAGAGAACGGAGTCGCCCCAGCTCCAAAGGCATTTCCCATCAGTTTGTTGCTGGAGTTGCAGCTCCCTTGGGAGGCTTTCCACGCTGCCTGGGCTGTCTCTACTGGTCACGAGGATTATGCCAGGGCTGGCGATACTGGGTTTTCTTTAAAAACTGGGGACTATTTCCTTTAATTTTTTGTAGACTGGCCTCTCCCTTGCTAGTACGTTGTACCAGCTTCAAGAGAAAAACTGATGATGGTATAAAGCTGCAGAGCACTGTGCCCAGGGAGAGCCCTAAATGGGTTAGAAGGACACAGAAGAGTTCTCAGTAGAGAGTGCAAAGGTGCTTCTCTACAGCTATGTGTACCACTGTGCCCTGCAAGAGGCACAAGGGAGATGGTGTATCTGCACAGAGCCTGCTGTCATCATGAGCTTCGCTCTGTGCTGCAAAAGAGCATTGGAGGAAACAGACGGGAAGGTTGCATGGACGTTGGTGTTGGCTAGTCCCCTAAATTTCAGCTTCTGTGGGAGAAGTTTGGGGTGTGTGACGGACAGCATTGAGGAGCTGCATGTGCTGCTGACTAGAAAAAATGCTGGCTTGCAGCATGCGCAGTGTCACTTGTGAAGCTGATGTTGGATGCCAGACTTCCCCGTTCACCAGACCTGGCACTTGGATTTGGCTTAAGTCAGGCTAAGAATGATGGCAGGGGGCTTTACCTGCTGAAGGAAGTTAAAAAGCTTATGTATTTTGAGGCATGAAAACACTTCACTGTATGAACAGACAGATAAAGCTGGAGGAGTCAGAAGGAGGCAGCAAATGTTCCCAGAACGTTACCCAGCTGCTATAACCAGGCCAAGTGCGTTCCGCCCAAGGAACTTGGGTGGTCTGTGTTTGTGATCTACTCAAAGGCTTTGGATTTGAGTACAGGGGTGGATCTTGCAGCAACAGCAATGATTTCGTGTCCCCAGGGAGCTGGCAACTCTGACAGCTTCCGCTCTTATGGCTAAGCCATCCTGCAGCAGTAGGGACAGGCCCCTGAACAGGAGCAGGGCTGAGAGCTGGTGCTGAGAACCCAGTGGTTGCCCCAAGGAAAGCCACCCCCACCCCACCACCAGGTGACAGAGCCCGGACCCACACTCTGGGTTTTCTACCTCTCAAAGCAGTCATGGCAAGTAAATGGGCAAAAAGCAGGCAAAGGATGCTAAAGGTTCAGAAGCTCTTCTGGAGGAGTTAATTGTTTGACAGCCCCTCTGTGTTATCCTTGGCATGTCAAGGCAGAGGGGCTGGTTTTAGTGCAACAAGCAGAATTTATCTAGGGCTTGCAAAAGATCAACCGAAAAGGTTCTTCAGGAGGTGGCTTACCAACCTGCATGTACTTATATGAAGCTTGTGTAGCTGGTTATTTCCCAGGTGCTCTACAATCACCTGACTGAGTGGTCTCAAAAAATTGCCAGTAGCAGACTAAAAGTGTCCAAAGACCCTCAAGGCGGTATCCCAAGTCAAGGCTAAGCTGTGGGATTAGGTGGTGCAGGAAAACATGACCTGTACTGGTTTTGTGGCCATAGACAAGAGTGCCCCCAGATTCACTCTGAGATCAGTGTGCTTTCAGTATTGGGTTATATGAAGCTGTTCAGAGGGATTTCTAGTGCCAGAGTACAAGCCTTGGCTCATGAAATAAGAATTGTATTAAGAAAAAAATACTCTGGACTTCAGTGTTCAGAGAATTCTTGTTTGTAGCAAGTTCTGTGTGTTTAAGTGTCAAACTGTTTAAGTTCTTTATTTTTATTTTTTTTTCCCTCGAGTGGATGCGTTCGGTGATTGGACTTCTCATCAGCAGAGCTGCAATTCTTTCTCAACTCCTGTGATCTTATCAGGAGATGCCTGAGCCAATCTCAACAATTTTTATTGCATGGTTCATTTACTTTGCATGCTTGCTTGCGCACACGTGCTCTTTCTCTCTCTTTTTGTGTGTATGTGTGTGTCTTGAAGTCCATTAAGACAGCAGGGGATAAAGAGAGCTGAGTTTCTGATGCTACAGAAAGTTCTCCATAGTAATATATGCTGTATGTTATGCTTAATAAGAGCAACAGTGTTGTATAGATCGTATGTTTAACCAGCCTGTGAGTCTTGATTATCATAAACTTGCTTCTCCACCCTGGGTGTTACCAGGACCAGAGCTGAAATGTTCTTTGGGGTTACTGGTTCTCCCCTTTCTCTCTTGCTTTTGATTCCAGTTTGTTGGGGAATGATTTAGTCCTGTGCAGCATAGTACAATGGTGTCAAATGGGAGGTGATGAGTCTCTGCGTCTGAATTTCTGATGTAATTATTCATTTAGGCACCCTGGGCTCTGGGTGTGTGTCAGATGTCTTAAAGGACAAACAGCATATTATCACAAGAAGTGCTATCCCTAGCAGCTCTGGTACCAATGCATTTTTAAATACTTGCCTGCCTTTTTTATGCTAACCCTGGTTGTGGTGATGTATGGGAGTATCGGGCCTTTGCTGCTTTGTCAGCTCTGAAGGATGTCACCTGCCCAAGTGAATGCTTTCCAGTCAGTTGGGGTGCTTTGAGGATTTTCCAAAATCCACTTTCTGGTAGAAAAAATATTCTTTTCAGGTGTTAATATTGCTGCAATGCACTCCATAAAAGGGAAACTTTACAGTTTTTTTTTTTCCTTTTTCAGCTGTAGAGTTGGAGAGGGAAAGGAGGATGTTAGAGATCCCCTTGGCATCCGCTATCTCCCAGTTGTGTTCTGCTGGGAGAGCTGAGTGCTGGGATGTGTTTTGTGCACGCAGGACACTGGGCAGATGTTGCTCTGAGTGAATGGAGTCATCATGCAACTGGCTATGTCTGTGAAGTACTTGTGAGTACGTGTATGTAAAAACAGGAGTAATGCATGCACAGCAGGCATTTTTCAGTCTGGGATCACATAGCGTCTGTGGGGTTTAGAGCAGAGTGTGTGTAGAGAGTAGATACTTTCCTGCAGCTCCTCTCTGCCCTCTTCTGTTCCTTTGAGACAACACAGGAGTCGCTAGATGTGGCAACCCTATGGAAGAGTGGTGGATTAAGTATTCTCTGAGCTCTCTGCAAGAGTGTGTTCAGTCTGGGAAAAGTGCTCAACACCTAAATGCTTCTTGCTTTGGGACAGTGAAGGGAACTGAGGGTGGAGAGGAAGTCTAGGATTAGAGAAGGAAGAAAAAGAAAGACTGCCCCCAAGTGTTGCTTCTGAGGTTGGGGCAGAAGGGTTGAAAGGAAACACTGTGGAATGGGGAAATAGTGATTCTTGTGGCTTATAGGGGTCCATGTTAAGAGGTGAGATCCGACTCTGACACCTGAGGGACCAGGTAAGGAGAGGACCGGATAGGAGAGGGTTGTGCTTTGTGAGGAGGAAGGGGGAGGTTGTGAACTGGTGAATTACTGAGCTGGGTGTTTAGGAAAGCCAATACAACTACTGAGTTAGGAGTTCTAGTTGGGTGGAAGCATGATTTAATGAGTCTGACAAAGACGTGTTGCTGATGCACTCACCTGCATGCAACAGATAATGGTGGAGTTACCCGGGGGCTTGTGGAGGCTCCAAACAGTCTCCCACTCTGTCCTGGCCTTCTGCCATGTTGGGCAGACAGTTCAGGTAGGATTCTTTTCCTACTAACAGCTTTCAGATGTCTGAACCCAAGCTCATAGTCTTTTGTTTCTACTACTCCCATTAGAGATGGGATGTCTGTAGCTGGGATGGAACTCTCTCTGGAGGTGCCTGCCTCTCCTCATCAACTGTAGTGAGCTCAACCATCCTTAAAGTCAGTTACCTAAGTTAGGGAAGATAAATCTTCTCTTTGCAGGCCACTTGTGCTTTTGACTTCCATACGTCAATCAAGAGAAGTGTTTGTAGGCTCAGGTTGTGAGTTTTTGAGGCTGAGAACCATCTTGTTCCAGTTTTCCAGCATGCCTGGTTTTCCTGCTCTTGGTTAGTACCCATAGAAGTTGTTTAATGACTCTTGCCACCACGTGCATGGTAAATGTACGCTTCCACCCAAGTGTTGCCTGCTACTCTATTCATAACGTTGGCCGTTGTCCTGTTAACCTCTCCTGTGTTACCGGTTAGGTTGTGAAGCAAATTCTCTGTCCCTTAACTTTGGCCTGGGGACATGGCCTGCTCTCAGGTCAGTGACAGTTGAACAATCTGGACAGATCAGTTTCCCCAGGGATAACTGGCTTTGCTGGATCCAGCTTTGCCGAAATGTTGTCTGAGCTCCTGCCTTGTGGGACCCTGGTGAAGCTGGGGCCTTGTATCTGAACAAGGCAAGCCAGCATGCTTTGATGCCAGGTGAGAGGGGCTTTGCAGAAAGGCTCATGTGTTCACCTAGAAGCAGTT